ATTCTTCAATGCAGTTTCTTTAGCCTGATCCCTTTCTATGACATGCCCATCATGGGTGACCCTTCTGGGAATGTACACTCCCAGTAGTATAGCTTATACTATACTACGTTGGGATGCTCAAACCCCTTCACCACAAGGGAACACTCCATGAAGGTTTTTTTTTTTTTTTTACAGTACCTCTATCTTATCTGGATTACATTTCAATGTGTATTATGATGAATCCTAAAATGCCTCCAGATACCTTTTTAGGATTTCTAAACTTTTTTGGCATACTACAGTGGAAGAAGAGGTAAACTATGGGCTATCTGTATGGCATGACAGTTTTGTCCAAACCTCTAGATGATTTCTCCCAGCAATTTTGTGCATGTTGGAGGGACTGTTCATTTTTGTTACCAATTCTTATTTTGTTTTTGCTTTGTAGTCTGAGTTTTCAAGCTTGGTCACACAAATCTATAGTATTTTAAATTGTTCAGACACTATCTTGTAAGAGAATGAAACTGTATCAGCTGCTTATCTGACAGTATGTTTTCCTTTGAGCATTTCTTTAAAAGAATGATAATCATTAGAGCAATTTATATGAGGTGCTAGATGTTGTACTAGCAGATTTTTCAGAATAGCACTTAGAAGATATGCAGTTTTCTGTGATTATGCTACATTTTAGAAGTGGATTAGAATACACTTTACACTGTACATCTAATTCACACTTAAGCTAGCATATTTTTTTCCCAAGTGCAACTTGACTCACAAACTCATTAAACCCTTGGACAGTAACTGAGTCTTATTAGCATTCTGCCTTTTCTCCAGTGTAAACCAATAGCTTGTAGTACTAACATAGTATCTTTCTGTTATTTAAATTGCTTTTTCTAGATAATACCAGCACTCAAAATATCTATGGGGCATAAAGTGTTATGCGTCCAGGGCAGAAGATTTCTAGAGCAGGTATAGACCTATTATCATTTTGGCAAATAAACTATTTTCAGGCTGCATTTGCTGAAGGGATAAGTGGTAAGGATGGGGATGGGGGCATGTTCAGCAGATAGGAAATAATTAAACCTTCTGTTGCCTGCTGATTCTCCCAGTATTCTCATGATCTATGCCGGGCTTCTGTGCTGGAAGTTATATGGGTTAAATAATTGAGGGAGTAAATATTTACTGGTAAAGGCTGGTGGCTGGGCAAGATTAACTCTTCCCCACCCTCCAACCCATTGAATTTCCTGCACAGAAGTTTGTCTTCTGTATCTGTCGCACAACATTAGTTTTGTATTTCAGACAAATGTTGGGGGCCCCTGTGTATATTTTTTAAGGGCTACCTGTTTCCAGAGTGACAGCAAGAAAGCCCCTGCACACTGATGAATTTGTATGTCATCATTCTCCAGATAAGAACTATGTCATTTGTAAAGCTATTACAACCATCTGTGCATCTCAGCTGAGAGTTATATGGACCTGAGAAAACTAATTATAATTTTTCAATTAATCATAGCATTTTCTGGATTATCTATAGTACTGTAAAGAAGTATTCATGCAGAATTTGGACTAACTTCAGCCTCTGGCCACAGACATACAAATTACAGTTGTCATGGCAGGGAGGAGCAAATGACAAGTATGTCATTATGTTATTGCACAAATAGATGACTTACGTAATTGTGTCAGACTTTATAATGCAATTATATAATTGTGTCATCTACATGATGACTTCATGACTCTATGTTGTCATTTCGATGTTATCATGACTTGTTATGGATACTGCAGCATAAGAGCCAGGATGAACTTCTTCTGAAGTGGAACTATGGAGAGTTAAGATGGTTGCATGGCTTGTGCTAATGATACTGCTGCCTTGGCTTTAGCCACCTAGAAACAAGCAACCTGCAGTCTTTGGATCATGAGAAGTTCTTGACCTAATTTCAGAGGTCTTCTATAAGTGATCATGTCAGACCTCTGATAAAAATTTTCCATCCATTTCCTGGCAGTCTGTTGCTTGGAAAAGAGGGAAGAGCTGGAAGGGAGGGAGGGA